AAAATTTATCACAAACAAAAAATAAAATATACTGTAAAAATATTAACAAAATTAAAAGGTATGACAGAAAAACTTATAAATAGTTATGAATCTAATATAATTAATTAAGATAGTACCCCTAACAATGAAGGATATGTTTATCTTTGTTACTCGTATTAAATTCACAACTATTTGCAGGTTTGCTAGTCATTAGCTTTAAATTTTGTTAATATATTTGTAGTCAATTTTATTTTTTGTTCATAATATTTTTTTTGAATAATTAGTGATATTTTATTAGTATAAGACTCATGTTTAATTACTTACATCTCGTATTTTCAATCATTATTATTTCTTTTATATTTTTGGTGCATCTTATAGCTATAAATTCATAATTATGCCATTATTATGAATTTATGATTTATAATTATATTTTTGATGAACATATTGAAAGTTATATTCCTATGCTTTTATTGTGATGCATGATAATGTATAAGATTATAATACTATTATGTCAGTATTAAACCTTTGTTATGGCCAAACGGATCGATGGGTCCTCAAATAAATTATTAATTTTTTTATCGGAGCTTACATTTTCTTGTTTTTCTCAGATCAGTTGGTCGGGCATTTGCTTGTCAGTTATAAGTCCTCTCTGGTCTGGGGTTCGATTGCCCCCGGTGGAGGATGTGGTACTCGAATTGTTAGGCGCATCGGGGATGACCAGGGAGAAGTGTCTCCACTAAGTCACTGGGAGGAGTGTCTCCACAAATGTAAACATTCCTGTTTAAATTTTTTTCTTAACTTTTTAGTATTTGAATTATTTATTGTCTTTCTCTTTTGAGTTAGGGTAGTTATCAATTGTTATTTCAGTTATTTTTTTTCCTTCAGTTGTATGGGTTGCTAAACTCTTATTGATGAAATGAAATAAAAATGTAATATTTTCAAGCTTATTTTAACTATTTCATTTATATAATCTTTCCATTTAAGAATACAAAACATGTTCGCTTCATTTCAGCGCATCCTATGTTGCCGAGATGTACCGTCTTTTGACCCGAGATGTTAGAAAAATAAGACAAACACAATCAAACAAAAGTTTATTTGTGTTCAATTTGTTTATAAATTGAGCTCAAAAAAATTGTTTGTATTTGACTCGCTTGCTTAATGAGCGAATCAAACACGAGTAACTTAACAAGCTGACCACAACTAATTCACAAACAACGAGCATTTTTGATAGCCCTATCCCTGTTCCATCCTCTACTTCTGCTTCGGCGCCACTTTCTCATATTCCCCTTCCCTCTTGACCTCTTTCCC